GAATGCCTTTCTAACCACAGTAACCCAAAACCAGGGCCCTGGAAATCCACATTAAAAAAGACCTGTGGCTCTTACGTGCTGCCCGAAATGCCCAGCATCACTCTGAGTAGAAGAGTGCCGTCTCCCTAATAGCCGAGGTAGCAAAGATCAAAGAGCTAACCCACGCATGGAGCTTCTGTTAGTCATCTGCAGTCAAGGCCAGTTGTTAGTTAAGGCCCTTGGCTTTGGAGGCCAGAAGGCGGCAATGAAAATAGGGCACAGTTCAGAGAGGGGAAGCAGACTCAGCACACATTCCTGTGTGCGCCAAGGGCTGTCATAAAGGCAGAGTTGATTCACCACTCCATTCATCTCTTTGGCCATTCATCGTTCACTCCTTGAGTTCTCCCTGGCTGCAGTGGAACAACAGGAGCTATGAGGACAGGGAGGGTTAGGTAAGATAATCTCTGCCCAGAGGTGTGCATGGCCAAGCTGGGGAAACAGAAGGGCAGCAGCAGTCACGGGCTACCGAGGTTTCAGGAGGCTGGTGTGCACCTGCCCAAGGTGGCTCTAAAGAATCAGCATGTGGACGGAGGTGCTGGCCCTGGGCTGTGGTGAGGAAGCCAGGATCAGGCAGGTGGACAAGAACAAGGTCAAACAGCCTCAATGGTGCAGTAGCACCAGGCCTCAGAGTGACACTGAAGGGCGTGGATTTTAGCCGTAAGTTAGGAGGCCATCAGGTAAGGGTGGTGCTGCCCTTAGCAGGTGCAGGAAGGGGGAAGTGGGGTATCATCCTGGACACCCCATTTTCCGACCTGAGCAGCTCGGGAGGTGTGCTGAACACACAGGAGAGGGTTTGGGGGAAGATGACAAGTTCAGCTTTCCCGGAATCACACATGCCTGTATTTCCTTCAAGCGTTAAAGGTTTCATTGACAGGCTGCAAATGATTTATTGTTCCTCCCTGTCTGCATCCATTACCCTTTGGGTTTTTAGTCCTATATACCCACAGACAGAAAGAGACACAGAAACAGGAAGAGAGTCCCAGGGAGTACGTTCCAGAGAGAAGCGAAACTTTCCTTCTCTTTCCCTTTGCCCCTAGACCATGCCCGTCACACACCTAAGCCAGTCCTACGGCCCGCACAACAGCTGCAGCTCCTCTCCCGCCTCATTGTGATAGCCACCTGGGAAGCCTTCCGAAATGGAGGTCCCAGGAGGTGTGGTAGTCACCAGGACATGTGGCCCTTCCTCCCCTCGTCGCTGTCAGGAGGCACCCAGCAGGGCCTGGGATATGGTGAAGCCTTGCCTTCATCCACGGGACTGGTGTGGCCAAGAGATGCCTCTGGTGGAGGCACCATGGGGCTCCAGCCCAGATAACAGGTTGAGATTATAGAGGGAGAAAAAAAGTCAGGTCTGAATTCCTGTGGAAGTGCCTCCTGACCTTCTCTAACATGGTGTGGTTTGAGTTTTCCAGAAACCAAGCCCCCCGACTAATGGTTCTACTTTCTTTTCTAATAAATACGTGGCCCTGGGCCCGGCTCCCTTCTCTGCTTTGTCATAAGGGACCCGTTATTTATGACTTAGGGATGAGTCACAGGCCTTGGCAAGGAGCTCACGGCTCTGGGCCCAGTGTATTTTTCCACTCAGTAGCAAGTGAAGGAGGACAGATGCTTGTAAATTCTCCTGTTGAAACGACTGTGTAGGTATCTTCACAGGGATGCTCTTCCTCATTCGGCTATAAATCTGCCTGTTGGACATTTCTGGTGGTCTTTGGCTGCTGCCCAAGAGTGCAGATGAGGGCTCTAAGGACTCAGGACTCAGTCCCCACCATGGCTTCCAGGCCACACAAACAACTCTGTGCCTCACAAAAGTGCCACGTACTCTATGGGGATTTTTCCAAGGCACCTTGGACACAGTGAGCCAATGGAAATGAAGGTGTCAGAACAGTGAGTCCCAGAGATGATAAGGGTGGTGCCTGGGAGACACAGGCAGGGCAGCGGGAGAGAAGGGCTTCCAGGGCTCCCCATCACCCTCCAAACTCAGTGTGCATTCGTTAGCTGGCACTCCGATGAACTCTGTGCTGGGGCTGACCCTCACCTACACAAGGTGTGGACAGCACTGGCCTACAGTCCCAGCCTCCCTGCTTTGCTCCAGCTCTTCTCTCTCCTTCCAAACCCCCTTCCTCAAAGCCCCTACTCAAGCACTCTATGCTATTAGTGATCAGACTATGTTACAGATTATTTTTTTACTTCCTATTTGTCTTATTTGCCCAAATAGATTTTGAGCTCCTGAGCAGAAGGTCTCATGTCTCTTTACATCACTTACATGATGACCAAGCACTTGATTTGGGGGGCCAGTAGGAGAGGTGTCAAGAGCTGCAGAAGGAGCAAGATTTATACACTTCTCACAAGCTAGAAAGCTTGCCTGCCAGTAATTTCATGGATGCTGGCTGAGACACGAGACTCCTGGGTCAGAGACAAAGGACTCTATTACTCACAGTGAGAACAGTATCTGGAGCATCAGCATTTGTGCCAGTCCCGGGAACCCTACTTTCTACAGGGTTAGGGAAAGAGGCCAGGTGAGTGCTGCACCGTGGTTTGCATTACAGATCTCTGAAATTAGGGAGCCTGAATCCTTTATAATAGGCAGTAAGTTTGCCTAAATTTTGACCCAGAAGTAGACTTTTTCTTTACTGCTCTGGACAGCATACAAAGCTGCTCTCTGCTCCACAGGGAGACACTTCTGTCTTCCTGGACCATTAACTACACAAGCAACCTTGAAAATGCAGTCAAGAACAAAGGAAGCCTGTGTCTGGGCTGGTAAGACGTGCAGAAAAATGAGACACATGCAGCGTCTTCCAACAGGGGGATCAAGAGATTTTTTTTATTCATCTCATAATGACAAGCCATGGCATTGTCCAAAACTGTGTCATAGTGCACCAGTCTAGAGATCCCAGCCTAGAGATCTGATGGGAATTGCACATAAGAGTCTCGGTGAGTTTGAGGGCAAGAGTGAGAGATGTACCTCATTTGTAAAGGCATATTTCAGCACGCTTTCTTGGTTCTCTGCCATAGTCTTCAGCATCACCTCCAGACTGAAGACTACCCACTATGCCCCATCTTTGCCTGAGCTCAGGACAAGCCAGAGCTGATGGAGGTTTAGTGCTCCTGGAGTCAGTCCTCAGCCAAAGATGGGGAGATGGTGCTTAGATACCTCCAACTCCTTCCCCTTGCCTGGGACAACTCACTGAGATTATGCCCCAGTTTCCCATACCAATAGCTACTCAATCTTTATCTGCTCCTTCCATTCACTTTCTCACTTCTGCACTCTCTCGGAGCTTTCTGAGGTCACTTGCATTCATATCCTTTTCTTAGTACTACTTCTAGAGTATCCCAACCTCAGACAATTAACTGACTTCATAATATTCTATGAAATGTGTATTGTTCTCACAATACAAGGTATAGAAAATAAAGTTTACCATACTATGCTTGAGTCATGGAGATACACAAAAAATAGTAACAATTCCTTCTAAGAGAGGGGCAGATCAACAGAGGACAGGCAGGGAAATATGGGATTAAAGATGCCAAGATACCACTAATTTAGACCCTGTGCTAGCTCTTGAGAACACGGCAGCTGGACTATCTCTGCCAGTACAAAGGTGAGACATGTAAGGTATGGATCACTGGCCAAGGGAGCGCTTGCCTGCAGTCTTTCCTTTTGCGGAGCTCTCCCCTTATACACCAACTCCAAGTCTACAGCCCTCTTAGCCCAGACTCTTCCCTTACAAGAATTCCAATCAGACACAGGCATGAGTATCTGAGAATAGCTATGAATGGGATCCTTGGGGCACTGAATTAAATGAGCCTCAAAGCTTTGAGCTAAAGTGAGGAATACCCAAGAAGGGGGATGAGGTAGGAGTCAAGAACTTCAGAACCACTTGGAGGGTTTATCCAAACCATACACCTAATGAGGTGGAGATATCCCAAGAGTGGGCTGAATGTCTCCAATTCAGCCACATCCCTGCATAATTTAGTTTCTGCCCAGAACCACTCTGCCAGTCTTCTTCCTCAGCACATACACTGGAAATTCTCCCCTCCAACCCTTTAGCAAGCAAATAAAGCATATTGGGAAACTACTAGCATTAATTAGCACTTACATTATTGCTCATTGTCATTATCATCTCGAGTTAAAACAGTTCTTTATATTTTTCAAAGCTTTATCATATTGACTATATGTTATTTGAGCCTTTTTCTTTCTATTGCCCCATTAAGTAAATACAAAAATAGCCTCATTCCACCGAGAGTGAAACTTTGGATTAGAAAAGGAAGCTTGATAGAAATACTCTCACTTTACAGGTAAAGAAACTGAGACTCAGAAAGAGTGGCTTGCCTAATATCACACAGGACATTACTGTCCCAGAGAGTAAGAGGAGCATCTTGTTATACATTACTGTAGTGCTTATCACTAGTTGGGTGTTTACGATCTGCCAGGTCCTGTATGTTGATGACATTCAGCTCATCATTTTCATTAATCCTTAAGAAAAGCCTTCCAGGGAGGTGTTATCATGATCCCCGTTCCACATATGAGGATAGCAAGTCTCCAAGTGGTTAGTGCTTTGCCCCAGGGGAAGGCAGATCCTGGCTGGGTGGGCATGGATGTGTGTGGAGTTAGGCCTCCTGGCCTGCCAGCTCTCTCCAGGCATGAGCTCAATCAGATCTGACAGCCAGATGGCTGGGCTGTGACGTCAGGGCTTAGGGCAAGGGGCTGGGGGGCAGCCAAGCTCTGGTTGGTAGCCCCCACCCAGACAGCTCCCCATGTGCTGGACCACATGAGAGCCAGAGTGAAAGAATATGTCTGCTCCTCCCAGCTGAAAACACCCCGCTGATGGGCTTGGGGCTGGTCTTTGTACCAAAACCAGACCAATATTTATGGGTCCCTGGTTGGAGTGGGCTCTAGAAGAGTGCTGGACTCCGTCCCTACAGCTCCAGGTCCTCTGCAGGCAGATGCGCCAGAAGGGGCCAGTGACTGCCCATCCCAGTAGCACCCGGCTGAGGACTGTCTTCCCCTCCCCCATCACAGCCTCATCTGTTCATCCATAACCATTTGGCCATTGCTTCTTCCACAGATCTGTTCCACGGTCTCTTCCCAGGGAGACATCTTGCTCCCCTCCAGGCATGGCCTACAGCTCAGAATGTACACCCAAGCTGACCTCACTACTTCACATCAGGAATGGTTTGGTGTGCATGCCAGACCAAGTCTTGGGTCACTGGTGATGAAAGTCTGCTGTCATGTCCCTTTCCCCCAGCCCTGACACTGTCCTTCGGCAGCAGCCCTTGAAGCCTTCTCAGTATCCAGATGTTTGGTGTCCTACAGCCTGGCTGATGTCCAGCCACACCACAGCAGCATTAATGGGCCATGAAGGCATGGAGGCTTCTGCTGGAGAAGATGGAGGTCAGTTTATTTAACTCAATTATAAACAAAAGCAAGAATTAGCCTGGGTGACGGAGGGAAGAAAAAAGGAATAAATTAAGCCCAGGCTGAAGAAACACCTGTGGAAAGGACTCCTCAGCCCTGGGGAAAGTGGCAGCTGTAAACAAACCACGAGTGACCTTGGATCACAAACTACTAATTTGCTGATTGTTGATGGGTTTACACAGTCTAAAATGGGAAGAAAGCCACCATCAGGCAGTAACCCAGTCACCCTGTGTGGGAGAATTTAGTCACGAACTAGCAATTCATTACTCATGAATTAGCAAAGATGGACCAGCCCTGGTCTAGGGTCACAGGCCTGAGAAGGGACTCTGCCATCTTGGGGGATGAAGGGCACCCAATAGGGTGGCTGCGCCCTCTACAAACACAGAGACAGACATGAGAGGGGTCGCATTTGCACTCAGATAGCTACAGGACTAAGCAAAACCAAATAGATATATGTATCAGTCAGGAATCTTGGTTACAGCTTGAACCAGATTAAGGGAAAGATGGATATTATTTACTCAAAGAATCCAACCAAGTCATTGCAAAAGCAAGAATGTAAATGGGCTTCAGGAATCCTTCAAGGTCCTCTAGGCCTGCTTCTGTGCTTCTCTCTCCTCTCTCTCACCGTATATATCTCTATGCCTCTCTGTGTGTTAGTTTCCTTCTCTTACTGCACAGTGGTTTCCATCATACAAAGAGGACACGGCCTCCAACAGCTTCTAAGTTTTACATCATACTATTTCCACCCCATTCTCTTTCTCAGTTTTTATTTTTTTTAAAGATTTTATTTATTTATTTGAGAGACAGAGCAAATGAGAGCAAGCATGAGGTGGGGGAGGGGCAGAAAGAGAAGAAGTGGGAGAAGCAGACTTCCCACTGAGCAGGGAGCCTGATGCCATGGCTTAATTCCTGGACCCTGGGATCATGACTGGAGCCGAAGACAGACGCTTACCCGACTGAGCTACCCAGGCGCCCCATCTCAGTTTTTGTTTTAAAAAACGTGTCAGGGAATGACTGTGAGTAGCCTGAACTGAGTGAAGTGGTTGGTCTTAGACCAATGAACTAGAACCAGAAGGGTAAGGAGCTACAATTGACCAGCTCAGCCAAGACCCAACAGTGACCACAAAGGTGGGGCTGCCAAACACCTAGGCAGTCCCCTCTTTTCAACCATGTGCTGGTGGGAACAGCAGAGAGAGGAGGGGACTCCAGATGGAAGGAGGGGTGTGGGGTATTAACTGCACAGCCGGACACAGCACCCTATGGACAGCGACAATACAGAACCATCGTGCAGCATGCGCAGCAGGAATCTGGAGTGAGGACTACGTGACTGAGTTGGGAAGACCAAAGAAGGTACCGCAGAAGGGAGTTTTAAAGGTTGGGTAGGTGTGCGATCAGTGAAGAGAGGAGAAAATGCACTCCAGGTTGGGAGAAGCAAGGGACAAAAGATGCAGGAGTCTAAGAGTAAACAGATATGACAAGAAATGGTGTGTCTGGGTGATGGACTTGACAGTGAGCCTGAAAACCCCAATGATCCCATCACATGAGGCCTGAATGCCTTGGAAAAGGGCTTAGACTTTATAATATAGTCAGTGAGGAGCCACTGATGTTTTGTGAGCCAGGGTGACATGATCAATTATTCATTCAAGAAACACTTTCTGGATGCTTGTTATTTTCTAGGCCTTGTGCCTGATGCTGCGTCCAGAGAGAAGGAAAGTGCATTCCTGCCCTCGGAGGGCCCTTGGTGGAAGGGTTACAGAAATGGAGCATTACAGTTCTGCTCTGACACAGACAGAGCCTGTGCCATAGAGGCCAAGGGCTGGAGTTACATCTTACAGCTCCCAAAAGGCATGGGAGTAGATGAGAAGGGGCTTCCCAGAGGGGTCAACACTTGGGCCAAGTTTTGAGGGCTAAGCAGGTATCTGCCTTGTTGGGCAGATGGAGAGGTAGGGATGGGTGAGAAACACAGACCAAGAAACAGGATGTACAGTTCTCAGAGCTCATGAAACCACCTGGAATGGCAAAGCAGGAATAGGAAGAAGCAGGGCGCGGGCTGGAAGAAGGAGCAGCAGCCAGATGGGGTACACTCTGTGGGCAGTGGGGAGCCATGGAAAGTGTATAATCAGAGGGTACACATTTTACATGATGTGGCTGCTCTGTATACCTGGGGAGGCAGATGCAAACAGGAGCCACAGGGACAGCTAGTAGGCAACTGTAAGGTCAGGAGGAAAGAGAAGACACCTGGGCTGAGGCAGGAGGGAGATGAGGATGAGGAAGGGATGGCTGTGAGGAAGGTTGAGGGATGGATTACATGGGAACAGATGGAGACAGCCTGGGGCTGGAAGGATGGTGCCACACACAGGAGTAACAGCCCCATGGGGAAAAGGAGATTTGGGAAGAAAATAATGAGTTGGGTTTGGAGGCCTATTAATTTTGAAGTATTAGTGGGGCCTCCAAAAGGAATTGCCCAGTTGTGTGGTGGAAGTGTGGGTGTAGGGTCAGGAGGTACTTCTGTGCAAAGACAGAGGTGGCAGAACACCTTACTTTGAGAAGGTTATTTCCCAAAGTAACACCTTACTTTGGGGTTTGAATCCACAGCTGCTTTCGGTGCCCAGCAGAGAACACACAGAGAGGGAGGAGAGCAGGCCAGACAAGAGAACACCAACATTTCAGGGGCAGATAGAGGAGAACTGCCCAGGGAAAATATTAAGAAAGAGCAATCGGAGGTAGTTGTTCACCAATATCTGTTCTCTCCTCCTTACCAGGCAATGGAATTTCTGCCTGGCTCGACAGCACAGTCCCCAGCAAGGTGTGGCCACATGCTGCCTTCTGACCAGTGGGACGTGAGCTGAAGGGACACTACAATTTCAGAGATCTGCCTTTGAGGGGGAACTGCGTATCTTCCCCTCCTCGTTGTCCCTTTCCCACAGATGACAGGATCAGGAGCAGCCACCCAGAGCCAAGAAACCAAAGCGGCACATGGAAGATGGCAGAGCACATAAGAGCCAGACCCTAACGCCATTGAGCTGCCTCACCAGCCATGCCCCCAGCCTTCTTGAGAGAAAAATGGATTTCCATCTTGCTTCAGCCACTGTATCTTGGTATCTTGGGGTCCATTGGTTCAGAGGGTATCAGAAAGGCCAGGGAGGAGGCTGGTAAATATAATGGGCTATCACAGAGTTCAAGGGAGTGAGGTCAGAGAATGACCTGGCAATGGGGTCCCTGATGACCATGCTGAGCATGGACTCAGTGAAGGGGAGGGCTCTGAGGGGAACAAGTTGAGCCAATGGAAGTGGAAGAGAGAAGCAAGTGCAAACAGCTCCAGGAAGGTAGGCTGAGGGTGGGAGCTGAACAGACGGGCTGTGGGCTGGATCACCAACAGTGCACAGACAATGGTAAGAGGCACACAGTGCTAGTAGATGAGGCGGAGTGAGGAAAAGATACAGGGAAGCCCTATGGTCATGGGAATGCTCTCAAGTCCTGGGCTAGAGCATAGTGTTCCGGCATGGACACAGGCGGTATCATTCCTAGGTAGGGACGCCCCAATCCACAGGCCCCACAAAATATCCCAAGATCATCAAGTAGATCAAGAGAATGGAAAGAATTGCGAAGGCAATGGTTGGGGTGGGAGAATCAGTGACTTCTAGTGACTAGTCAGGAGGCAAGTTTGGACAAGGGTTGGATGGTATTTCATGACAGGTTTGGGAAGAAGAAACAAAGTTCCCACAAAGTGATATCAGCAGCAGGCCTAGGGATCCAGGGGTCACCCACACCTGCTTCTCTTAGGCAGCTTTCATGGGACCATCATTGTCCAGTGTTGGGGACACTGGCTCTGTCCAAGCTTGTACACTGGGCAAGAAGAACCAAGGGCTCAGGGGCAGACTGGGGACTTGATGGGGAGAACAGGAAGGCAGAAGGGAAAGCTAGGCCAAGGGGAAGAAGAAGGAGAGACCCATCTCTTGGTCCTGGGCATTCCATCACTGGAACAGGAAGAGTGGGGACTGGAAAGGTCTGGGTCAGGAGGAGGTGCCAAATAGACGGTTGGGGACATGCTGGGCCTGAGGTTCCCCTGGAGAGTAGTGGGGAGACAGAGGGTCGAGGGTTCTGGTTCTCACGTCGCCAGAGCTGAGGGGAGCATGGCTGGAATGCACTACAAGCCAGTGTCCATCCCCCGGGGCAGCCAGTGGGGAATCTCTAGCCCTGAAGTCATCGCCACCCGAGGAGCCTGGACCCCGCCATGGAAAAAGGGTCCCGCAGGGGCACCCGGCGCCGGCCAGTGAGGATGAGCTCATCGCCACTTGCCGCCTCTTCCCCTCTTTTCCAGGCATCTCAGATTTCTGGATGTCAGGAGCATCTAACAGACAGGAGCAGAGGACAAGAAGGGGGCTGGGACCCAAGGTAGGATGTAGGGGGCCAGCAGTATTTCCCTCCACCCCAGCATTGCTCCTGCCTCCTCTGCTTCATCCTAGGCCAGATATAGGAAAAGAACCAAAGCTACCTTCCTTCCCACCTCCATTTTAAGGGACCAAGGAGGCCCTAATGATAAGGTCCCTAAAAAAATGCATCTGTGTTACCTGGAGAGATGGCACTGCTATCCTTTCCCATCAGCGCATGCTATTACCATATACTTGCTATGAAACTGAGGGTCCTGAACCCAAAAGGAATAGGAAACAGAGCAGAGGAGGCAGTCAGGGTGGCAGGAGACTGGTGGGGCTGGGCACATGGGGCATGAGGCATGGAGCTGCCACATGACGCAGCAGTTGGAGCACTGTGCTAAGAGTCAGAGCACAGCACCAGGCCCAGCTCCTGCTTCACCACTGGGTAGCTGTGTGACTCTGGGGAAGCCAGTCTGTCTTCCTCAGTTTCCCCTACATGAAATGGAATTGCCACCTGATCTTAGAGTGTTTTGAGGATCAACTGAAAGCACAGATCTGGGCTTTGGAAGCTTACAACACTCTGCACTC